GCGAGCATTTATTTCAAGGCATGAACTAGATTTAAATGATGCATTAGACATTCACTTTCACAAGCAAGAATAGGCTACTTCTTCACCCATGTTGCTCTTTAATAACAGAAGCAAATTTCGTTTAGAAACGTGGGATTTTGTCAATGTCATGTTTATGATTAGAATTGCTAATCAAGTCATGTTTATGATTAGCACTGCATCTGAATACATACATATATATATATATATATATATATATATATATATATATATATATATATATATATATATATATAGCGATTCACACTCAGTGTCTCTCTCGCTATCTTTTTACATATATTTATATGTATAAAATTCCACGTTATTGTAGGTTTGGTATAGAAATGTAAGCATACATAGTAATGTAATTTCGAAAAAAGTCGACTACACAAAATTAATCTTTGACAATATGTACCTTCAAATATTCTTTCCCAGCTAAAATAATCGACATCCGCAGCATGTTATATTAAATAATAATAATGTTCTTCATATTCCGATAATACATAATAAATACATGCATGCACACACACACACACACACACACACACACATACATATGAAGAAATATAGCTTTAAGATGTGTTATATTTATGGGATAAAGTGCTCAATATCAGATATAGAGCGTATGTAAATATAAAAGTGAACATTGAATTCAACACTCATCAGGCCACCTGATGATTGCGTCTAGCATGAAATTCTGTTGCCTCTGAGTATATATATATATATATATATATATATATATAGATAGATAGATAGATAGATAGTGAGATAGGCAAGAAGTAAGGCATGCAGCAACATCAGCACGGCAAAGGGCACTGCTTTAAAGGCAAGGAAGGGCAAAAAATGTTTTACGTCAAGTGATAGCGATTGCTGTATGAGTCGTACGAATTTTGAATCAAGCACAGGCAACGCCGGGCTATGCTAGTAGTATATATATATATATATATATATATATATATATATATATATATATATATATATATAGAGAGAGAGAGAGAGAGAGAGAGAGAGAGAGAGAGGAATAATGGAATAATAGTTAGCGACTTGGTTTGAGGAATCAGAAAAGGCGTGTTCAAATTCCAATCAAATCCATTACATTCACTTACGTGCTAATACCTTTGAGAAAGGTATGAATCCGCTTCTTCTTCCCCCTCCAGCTATGGGTAAATAATAGGATTAGGGTTCTATAGCTTTGGATGGCAACTGGTCTAGCAGAAGGACAATTCTGAATTCAAAACCAGCGGAAGGTCATTTGGAGACCTTATGGCACGTATTCAGTCATTCAAAAAGTATCATTGGTTCTGCACAAAACCTTTACTACTATAATCAAATCATATGTGCTGGTGTCAGGCTCTCAGTTCTTAGGAACTGATCTGCTTGACCCTCATACGTCGAATTCGACGCGGAGATTCGAGTATATATATATATATATATATATATATATATATATATATATATATATAGAGAGAGAGAGAGAGAGAGAGAGAGAGAGAGACAGAGAGAGACAGAGAGAGAGAGAGATTGGCGTTTGTGTATATATATGTATCCACACACACACACACACACACACACACACACACACATATATATATATATATATATATATATATATATATATATATATATATATACTTTCAATGCTGGTTCCCACTCAAGGCTGGAGACCTTTAATATTGATTCTATAGTGAGTCTCTATGGGAAAAAGTGGACAGCGCTACATGTTGTTCGTTGCGAATGAGTATCAAGTTCGTTACAGTTATTTGCAACTTTTATGTATCACTACAACATCCTTGGAATCTTCTCTTTTCGTCTCTCCTGATTCTGTTATAGAAGGCACCTTTCTTAATATTGCCTTAGTCACCAGTGAATGCCACAAACATTGTATTAATTTTCATTTTCTGGTTGGGAAATAAGGCATCCAGTCATAATAAACGTATATCGATTAGCTACTCTCAAAGCACGAAAGAGTAAAATTTGTAATACGTTTATCTTAAAGTAACCACCTGTGAGTTGGCGCTGTTGGCTACATCTGTCAAAATAACAGAGCTGAATACAATTCTTGCGGAAATCTAGTGGTTTTATTGTTTTCTCTTGGAAATTTGATTTTCTATCTATTTTTGATAAAGCAACTGCAGATTCTGTCAAAATGATTGAAAACAGCGCAGTGAACAAATAAGACAACGATATTTGCATTTATCTCTAAAGAATTCTGCGTGAAAATTAGATTAGCAGACCGCTTTTCAGAACAACTTTTCAAGTCATATAGTTTATGAAATTCAAAATGCTTCCAGATTTTTTTATTCATAAAAGCAGTAGACATTTGTGTTCATGTTATAACTAAATCCAGAACATTATAACTTTGTCTGCATAATCGTCGTAACATATAATGTGTTGATGTTGTTTCAGCAATCCTAACAAGTGAGTTTCTTTTATTTGTTAAAATATTTAACAGAGATCGAGATCTCAATAGTGGATAGCCGTGAGCCTCATTTTCGAAACCAAACTGTTACTAGCGAAAGTTCTTGAGAAGCGAATTTCACATCACAAAATTTCTGAATATACAATTCCTAGATTAAACATAAATAGGAATCCTTTTCGTTTAAATTAGCTTATATTCAATTCGTCTTCGCTGATTTTAATTGTTTTATATTTTCCATTCCTTTGATTGTTCTAACTAGACCTGGAAATTTCCATAGATCTCTGCTCTCCCGGAAACTGGTTTCGATCTTTTATGCTTTTAAACATTCAGTTTCTCTTTCCGCAATCCTTCTCGTATCCAGATTTCTATTTCCGGCGTAGTTAGGATATTCGTTTTTCTTCCTGTTTCCGTTTATTTATGTTCTCTGATCGACCCATCCTTCGAAGCCATTTTACTTTACTCGATTATTTATTATACTGCGTATTATTAGCTGCACAATTTCATTATGTCCCTCTTCTAGATCGTTTTTCGGTCCCCATCTTGAAAACTACATTCGTTTTTTTCATTAATTCCTGATGGCATCAGTCCCCTATGGCCTTGTTGAACTGCTATTCTTCTTAATTTTTGATACATCAACCGATCTCAAAAAAGGATCTACATTCGTTTGTTAACCGGGGCAAGGAATGACAGCTTCCAAATCATCTATCTATGTTGATGATGCCTAGTGAACTCTGAATAATATTTCTTAAAAGTGCAGTTTAAAATTATTTTTCTGAGCGGTTTGATTTTTCTCCCAGAATCTATCTGTCAAATTACTATTCTCCTTGCTTTCAATATTGTCTGATCTTCTGCTAATTAGATCTAATAAAATCATTCGTTTTGTTAACCAGGTCAAGGAATGACTAGTTAATTTTAACGTCTTCAGAATGAAACTGCTCTATTTTAATCATTCTGAGAGAACCCCTCTTACCTTCCATCACTCATGTTAATACCAATACAACTAACGAATGCGATATAATGAACAACAAAACAGTGAAATAAAATACGTATGACAACACCATCATCATAATGTGGCGATTGATTGTGTGGGAACTACATCTAGGAATATGAAAATCCAATTATCATGGATATATTTCGACAAAATCAATATAAAATAAAATAAAAATAAACAATTTTTATTATATTCCTTTATGTATTTCTGGTAAAAATGAATAATATTACGAATGTTCAAATAGTATTTTCTCGGACCGTTATTATAGAGTTATAGGGTACAAATGTGGCACATGGTCCTTGGTACCCTAGGAAAACTTGTTATGTCAATGGTAACACGTCTTAGAATGAATATGACACCATTTCCTCATGTTTAGTAAAGTTAGTCTCAAAATGATTCTGCGATAAAAAAAAAAACATTTTTAGGGGACAGCACCCTCTAGCGTCACCCCATTCTGATTGGAAAACTTCGCTCAACGGCCCCTAATACGTTAAAAAAGAAAACTGCCGGTACACCACACTTATAGTTCGAGAAGTAATGTTCTAGCGTACCTAGACTTTATGAATTTAAGCGCAGTCTTAGATCGGCGCCAACGTCTCATTTGACCGTTGCAATGGCTATATGTAAATGTAAGTTCTATGCTAGCTGTTAGTCATTTTGCTAGATTAATTCCGACTTAATAGTGAGTTCGATCCTTACTGGTTGCCCCATTCTTTCGGTCTTGTGCTGCATTTAAGCTACGCTTATTGATTGATTCATTTTCTATACCTTATCAACACTTTGCAGGTTATTTAAAGCCAGAAAATATTTTTAGATTGTAAGAATTTTTTTAGATCTTTTTAGTGATACAAGTCTTACTAATTAACCCATGAGTTGGGGAGGAGAGGTGGATTCATGCCTTTCCCAAGGTTAATTGCGTATACGTGAAGATAATGAAACCAACAGAAATTGGAAATTATCTCACCGATTAGCAATCTTGAGCCATTATCAAAACACGAACCGCACGTCTAAGCTTACAGCACCAGGTATTCCCAAGCGGTTACCCATCGAAGTACTGACGTTGCTTAACTACAGTGATTGTACAGGAACAAATGCTTCAACGTGATGTCGTCATAAGTGTAAGCTACGTTTAGTAAATCACTATTATGCATAGGGTATTATAAATGAGCTTTTCAGATAAACATTCAACTTCATTGCCCTTTTATTTTATAACCGTATATATATATATATATATATATATATATATATATATGTATATATATATATATATATATATATATATATATATGTATATATGTGTATATATATATATATATTATATATATATATATATATTATTATATATATATATATATATATATATATATATATATATATATATATATATATATATATATATATATATATATATATATATATATATGTATATATATATATATATATATATATATATATATATATATATATATATACAGAGAGAGAAAAAATAGATGGGTAAATAGATGCCTCCTCTCAAATAAGTACAATTCGATATGAATTATGAGTGAAAGGTTCTGTTTAATAACCTTATAGATGATAACTGTACAAAACAATACATATAAACAGTATATTAGCATTCGAGGAGAGGAAGTCTTTATTTTGAATCCATCTCTTTTATTTGTTTGTCGAAACTTTCTCTGCGTGCGATTCTTTCTCTCGTCTTTAGATATGTGTTCGAGTTCTCCTCTAAGTCACTCAGTTCTTTTTATGTGTGTATCCTCTTTTCTTCCTCTTTCTCTCGGTTTTAATCACACTTCTTCTTCCGCTTCATTTTGTCTTTTCTCTTTCTTTCTCTTTAAGAATTTTTCTTTCTTTTACTCTCCTTTATGTTCATTCTTTCTATTTTGTTTCCTACTTTTTTCCTTTCTCTCACTTATGCGTATCCACTATTCCGACACCTTCATCACTTTATCGTTTTTTTTTTACCTCGTTCTCAGTATTTTGGTTACTCTTTTATTCTTTCTCTTTGGTTCTTGGTCTTTTCTTTCTTTCTTTCTTTCTTTCTTTCTTTCTTTCTTTCTTCTATTTCATTGACTGTTTTGATCTCTATTTTTTCCCTTTTTCTTTTTTTTCTAGATTTCAATCTTATTTGTTTCTTTCTTTCCTTCTTTTTTCTTTCTTTCTTCCTATTTTATTTTCAGTTTTGATCTCGATTTTCGCCTTTTCTCTTTTTCTCTCTATTTCTCTTACAACTGTTCATTTTCTTCTTTCTTTCGTTCTTGTCCTTTCTCTCTTCTTAGTTCAATACTTGTTTCGATCTATATTTTTTCTTTCTCTTTGTTCTCCCTCTCTCTCTTTCTCTCTCTCAAACACACACACTATCTATCTATCTATCTTACTCTCTTTCATTTTCTCTCTTAATTCTTATCTCCCGATGGAATCGCTATCGTTTTATCTACATCTGCCCGATTAGCTTCCTTCTCAATAAATCCTGACTCACTCTCTCTTTCCGTTCTTCCTCCCTCCTTTTTCCAGTGAGTCTATTCAAAGTAATCTCTTCTGTGGCTACATTTGATTAGCTCCTGTCTATATCAGAATTTGATTCCTCTTTCCTATTCTGACCGTTATTCGTGTAATGCCCACAGCGAAGTGGACAAAGCGCCCATTAAAATACAAATAAAAGCTTTTTTCAGTAAATACAGAAACGACCGACGAGAAATATGGTACCTCCGTCGCCAACTTGCAATTAACATTATCAATGAGCTACCTGAAACCTACACTAAGGGAAACAGCTGGCCTGTACTCACAAAAGAGAATTAATTTGTATCTGCTTTTTTTTTTTTATATTTGTTGTCACTAGAAGCGACAAATGAAATTGATTTTCCATTATTCATTAATAATAATAATAATAATAATAATAATAAGAAGAAGAAGAAGAAGAAGAAGAAGAAGAAGAAGACTTTTGTCAAAAAGATCAGAACGGAAACAATGCATACCACCAGGAAGTACTCGATCGTAGCTCTCCACAATTTCCTATCTTTTGTAGCGTGAAATCAATTACCCATTTTTGTGTAACGCAGGTGCAAAAGTGACTCAATGTTATGAGACAAAGCATAAAATTCAATAATTTCCATTTTTCATTTGTATTCCATATCCCTTCAGGACATGGAAGATCTCCCCAGCTTCCTGTCTTTGTAACATAATGCCAAACGAATTACACATTTTTTGTAGTCCAGACTCGGATATAATACAACCTAACGAGAAAAAGTGCAAAATGCAATAATTTCCATTCTGCTTAGTTTATGTGATGTAGCCTTTTAGGGTAATCATTCTTCTCCATAACTTCCTATCTTTGGTGGCGTGAAGTTAAAACAATTACCCATTTTTGTGTACCCCAGAATAAAAAAAAAATGCCTCAACATTATGAGACAAAATATAAAATGCTATAAATTCATTTTTTTCTTTTAATATGTTCTATGTTTATTCAGAATGAGCGTGATCATGGATCTCCACAACTACCTTTCCGTTGCCGCGTGAAGGTGCGTCAATTGCTCATTTTTGTGAAACGCAACATAAAAGTATAAGACAAAAGTATAAAATTTCCAGATTTCCATTGTCTTTATTTATGTGTCGCGTCCTTTTGAACGTTGGCGAAATAGGCTCTCCATGACTTATTATTTGTAGAGTGAAGTTAAATCAATTAAGCATTTTTATATAACCCAGAATACAAAGTATGTCAATAGAATGAAACAAAATCTAAAACGTCATAATTACTCTCTTTTTTTATCTGTCGTATCCTTTCATGACGTTTACGATCATGCAACCTTTGACTCAAGATGCGTTTATGTCTCCTCTGTGCCATCCATTTATGCAAACTCTTTCGGTACTTTACTTGATGTTTCCCTCTGTCTTTCTTGCCTTTAATATGTCCTGCGCGTGTTAAATGATCCTGTCTCGCCTCCTTGGTTTTTGTTACAGTTTACTCTTCCAGTAGACTACAGAGTGAAAATGAGAAGAAGCGAAAGGCTGAAAAATTATCCTCATCTCGCAAGAGAAGATGGAAATAATGAAGAACATCAAAGAACAATTGGTGAGTTTAGTCGAAAGAGCCTGGCGAAATTTATCACGTCAACGTTACTGGATTATTTAATATCTCTAACTGTTGTGGATTCCGGGTTGAAATCCGGTACCAATAAATAACAAACGCCAAGAATGAATATAGGAAAATAATGTATTAACGTAATAATACAAACTGGTAATGCAGGTTAGTAGTTCCAGGAATACGGGTTAGTAGCAAAAACATATATACAGTATTTGGTATTGAAGTATCGTTGTATGACTTCTTACTGAGTCTACGTGCTCGCTCACTGTGACTCCTACAACGCTGTTACCTCAGCTTTCACTCTTCTGGTTACATACAACCTTTTAGCCAGTCACTCTGGACTCGAATCGACTCTTCGGTCTTGCTCGTTATTTATCGACCCACCCACGAGGATTGAATATGGCTCAAGGCCGGTTTAATGTGGATATCTCCGAGCCCGTAGGCTCGGCCTAAAATATAGCCTTTGAACCCGCCTAGACGGGTGCAGGCCCTGTCTACCTCCCCGGACGAAACATTGCCCTTCGGCAAAGCCTCGTCCGGGTTCCTCTCTGCTAATGCAGAGAGTTCGACAGACGTCGCTTACAGTCAATGACTGTATCACGACGCAGCTAGACTCGGAGGTCTTGCTCGGTATTTATCGACCCACCCACGAGGATTGAATATGGCACAAGGCCGGTTTAATGTGGGTATCTCCGAGCCCGTAGGCTCGGCTAAAAATATAGCCTTTTTGAACCCGCCTTGACGGGTGCAGGCCCTGTCTACCTCCCCGAACGAAAACTTGCCCTTCGGCAAAGCTTCGTCCGGGTTCCTCTCTGCTAACGCAGAGAGTTCGACAGACGTCGCTTATAGTCAAAGACTATATCACGACGCAGCTAGACTCGGAGGTGTTGCTTTCTCGGGTCTTCACGTAGCCGTAGTATATGTATATACTGGGTGATTCCATTTGTGTAAAAAGGGGAGATCCCCTCAACACTAAGAAATCTTATAAAACAATTATCGCAAAAATTTAATAGATAGACACTTGAAAGAAAATAGATAGACACTTGGATCAAAATAGAAACTTGGATCAAACTAGATAGACACTAGGATCAAACTAGATAGACACTAGTATCAAAATAGATAGACACTAGTATCAAAATAGATACGGATCAAAATAGATAGACACTAGGATCAAACTAGAGAGACACTAGGATCAAAATAGACACTAGGATCAAAGGATTACAGTAGACTATAAAACTAAACACGGTTCTGTTTTAGATCTCATTCAGAAATGTAGACATATGTCCAGTTTATACTAGAGCCAAAAAGATAGAAAATAGGGATGGTTTACACTAGGGTTACAAAAATAGACCCTGGTACAATTTCCATAAGAATTAAAAAGGTAGAAGTTTATTTTAATTTTTTACAAGGCTCAGAGACCACTCGATGTAGGGTGTTACGTTAAGAGGCACTTTATACGGCTAGGAGGGTAAGATAACTTGAACAGGTTTAGATTGTAGTGCTTAGGGAAACATCCCCTCGGGAGTCGGTCCCACAGGACAGTGGTTAGCGGGAAGAAGCTGTTCGAGTGAAACTTACTACACGCTGATGGAATACGGTGAGGATGTGGGTGATTTGCTATAATATGAGTGGCATAGCGTGTCCTAGACGTGAGGGTTAGACCCTGGAGGAATCAAGGAATGTAGTTCGCCCGAGCACTTTCCATGGTATTAGAGATAGAGCAGCGAGAGTCTCGCCACATTCCGCTTGTGAGATCGAGCTTAGAAAATAATTCGTCAACCACAAGGACTCGGAGGTGCTTTTGAACTCTGTCAAGACAGGAAAGTGAGAACTGGGTAGCTCCCTTCCATATATGACAAAAGTATTTTCATTCTGAGCCTGATCTGACTCTTGTAAAGCTAACGGACAGCAGGAAGAGTGGGGTACTTACTGGAACGGCACAGGGAACTGACCATTTTATCTGCATCTTTAGCGATGGATCGTATGTACGAGTTCCACTTGAGGCCAGGCATGAGTTTACACTAGAATCAAAAAGATAGACTCAGGTCCAATTTACACAAGATGCAAAAAGTCTAGCTGATAGCGGAGCCAAAAAAGAATGACTCGCCTCTAACCTTAGAATAAGAATGAACGATATCCGACCAGGGTTTTACTCGAATCTGTAAGTATTTATCCGGATAATGACCTCTTTTTATGTTATCCTACTATTCTGCATATATTAAGACCCAACAACAAGGAAAGAAAATGATTGGATGAACTCAAAATTAAAAGAGTGAAAACCATCCAGACCCCACCATTGCCTGAAACAGCTAAGAGAAAACTTTTATATATTGAAAAGGCTTACTGCCACTTGATCCCTAATGTATATTACAAGATATTATTTTCTGATGATTCATATATATATATATATATATATATATATATATATATATATATATATATATATATATATATACTGATGTTCACCGAATAAAAGGTTCAAGATTTCCTCAATGTAGATGGTAGTTGAACGCGTTGCGTGAAATGAATATAAGATTAAGAAGAAAGAAGTGAGAATTATCTGGGTATGAAGGACAGTCCACGATTATCGCTAGACTTGAAATACGGAAAGAATGAGCATGGTTAGTTACGGAGACGCAACATGGCGGGTCTTAGTTCTTCGACAAGTGCTTTACTAAATCGAGAAAAGTACTCATGAACATTATGGAATATGGGAAGGACTCCTGTCAATTATTCTTTTCTGAAAGCCGCCATTACTATTGTAGTAATAACAACCTTAGTTCTAGTGATAATTATGGTAAGGCTTCTAATAATAGAAAGAATGGAAGCAAAATGTCTACAAGAAGAAAAATCGATTTTTCATTAATCAATTTCGATAAGGATTCGAGTATGTTAACATTTGTGCATGTGCTACGATTGCAGTTGCAATTAACAAATTCTAGTAAAATGTTGTAATAATAGTAAATCTTTGAATGATTACTATCAGAAGAAAGTGGTAGTTGTAACAGTACATTTATTATTAGTATTATATTAGTATAAGAAAATCGTTGTTGAAGTTTCTAGGAATACTATTTGAATTAACTGATGACGACTTAAAATGCCTTTAAACGAATAAATCCTATAAATCTGTAAGCGACCTGGGATTGCAAGGGTAATATTTGTCGCAGATTACTTCCACAACGCAGAGAATAAATCACTAAGTTAAGACTCGAACATTGGGGGCAGAAAGAAATGCCGAAAACTCGATTCGTAGGTACTATCTCACAAATCACAATGCACGCCACCAGTCAGAAAAACAACTCACTCTCCGACAAACGCGGTAGCCAAAATACCCGAATTGTCCCCCGATTCAAGAACACCAACTGCTTTTA